TGTTCATGGAGTTTTCTTGGCAAAGATACTGGAGTGGCTTGCCAGTTCCTGCTCCAGGTGGATTGCATTTAGTCAGAACTCTCCACTATGACCTGTCCGTCTTGGGTGTCCCTGCACAGCATAGCCCATAGCTTCTCTGTATTACTCAAGCCCCTTCACCACAACAAGGCAGCAATCCATGAAGGGAGTTCATAGTATAACCACTACTATAACTTTCACTTTAGTACATGTTTATATACTGGGATGACTCCTTCACATGCTGTCCTCAAGGAAGTCCCCTCATGTGGACAGTGCCAGGCAATCACAGAAGTTCCTCACAGCCCTCCTTATGTCTGTTTTGGCTCTGCCATTAAGTCAGAACCAACTTAAAGTGACCCTAAGAGGGCTTTCAAGGTGAGTGAAATATTTAAGGAATGGTTGTACCAGTTCTACACACCCAGTGAGCTTCCATGGCTGAACAGGGATTTGAACCTAGGCCTTCTGAGTCCTAGTCCATCATTTGGTATGTTTAGCAAGACAGAAAAATCTTGAAATGTTCGCTACCATTTTCTTTCACCTCCAGGGCAGTGAAGAAGTCCAGAGCCAAAATAGGAAAATACATTTGCAAATGATTCAGAACTATTTAGATATTTGCCAATGTGCTTTTTAGAAAGATATTTTTCCATAGAGAAGCTACATTTCCTTAACAATGCATTAAAGATTTAAATCTTTAAACTGGAGATTTTCTTCCATGTTTGGTCTCTGTTGTAGATTAGATCCAAATTCCCCAAGGCATTCTAACTGAAAAGGAGAGAGATGATTGAATTTCATATGGCCCTCATATGTCTAATGTAGCTCCAGCTGTGAGAAGGAAAGTAAAAGCAATTTTGCATGAGCCATTTGTAAACCATAATACCTGCTTAGGCTAAAATCTAAAGAAAATTATCTGACAGGCACCCAGTTCTAGTATTAAAGCCAGGAATGTGTGTGTAAACAATCATGGGCTGAAGCTGTTAAATGTCATTGGAGCTCCTGATTTTAAACCAAGAATCTGAGGGCCAGAATCTAGGATGTAGTTTGCACCTCCAAGCCCACTGTGGAGACAGAGATAATGCAGCAACAACAGCAGCACTTCCTAGGTTTCAAAGCCTATATGAAGACTAATATGACCTGCATTTTCTCTGCATATTTAAAATGCTAGTGAGGTGGATAATAAAATATTTCTAAACAAAAATGTTCTAATTAAGCCAGCCTAATCATATAATGAGAAAAACTTTCAAATCAGCAATTGATTGAATTCAAAGTTTTGCTTCCTCTAATGGTAAGGATGGGCAACATGTGGTCCTCAGGAGCTCTGTGTCCCCAGAGGTCCCTCATTCCCAATTTTTAAAAATCAATGGGTTCACAAAGTCACCTTTTGCTCTCTGAGGGACTGAGGGGTATTTTTGCCTTGTTTTGCCAGCACCCCTGGAGGTGCCCCCTTGTCCTGAAAAATTTTAAAGCATATTTTAAAGATTTCATCCACTAGAACATAGAAAGGGATTGCTTTCATTAAAACCCCTCCAATTTTTATAAGATATTTTGGGTGTGAGGGGTTTCATGAAAACAGGTGTAGCCCTCCATAATGCAAGAATTGGCCACCCTTGCTCTAACAGGCCTTTCAGTGAAGGAAGAAAACTTCTGGATCTAACTTTATGAGTGTAATTATATTATAATTATAGTAATATAATTATATAGCATAGTATTATAATTATAGTAATAATGATTACACTAATAAGCATTGACCTGCATGCTTACTATATGGTGCAACTAGAAGACAACTGCAGATATTGTTGCATCCGTAAGTGGTTTTCAGCAGAGACTACCCCGGCTACTACCTAGTAAAGGTGGAAATGAAGCCACACATTATTTTATTTTATTTAAGATAAAGTCTTACTTGATTTATATTTCTATTAACCAACCAATGTGACATGTAACAGAGTAATTCAAGGTTTTGCTTTGCTTTTTGCAATAGTCACAGCAAGCTGCATATTAGAATATATCCTCACCACAGTACACCTCATGGATCTCCTCCAAGTCTCCATTCCTAGGTGCCTTAACCTGAAGCAACACTTTCCTGATCATTACAAGGCAGCTGTTATTTTAGATCTCCCACAGTGCCCCAGCATGATCAGTTATTTAGGTATATCACAGGAAATGTGAAATTGCAGTTTTGTACTTTCCTGCTGAGAAGAATCCAGGTAAAAGAAATGTTAATCCTGTTTGGCTTCTGGAAACTGCTGAAGAACACCTGGCACTGACCTTGGCACTGGCCTTGACAATGGTATATTCTAAATTTCTGTCCCTACTTAAAAAATTTAATGACTGAAATTGTCTATCACAGAGAATAGACCTTACTCTCCATATGTTTGTTTTTAAACATAGAAAAGACAAAGATCACCAGGCTACTCCTGAACTGCTGTTCCCATATGTGGATTTTAGAATTGTTCTTCGTATATTTTGTTTTATGCATTCATTTAGTTTACCCTTTAGTCACTGATATGCCATCCAAATTAAAATTTAGAAAGAATACACACATTTCTGCATAAGATCACGACATCCTTTCAGTGCTTCATAAAAGAGAATCATGCACCAACATTACCTTTAGTGCTCCAATCACAGCTGGTGGATAGCTGAGTCCAACCATATTGGATGTTCTCCTGTACATTCTAGCAAAACAAAATAACATAAGCATTAATTTTTTAAAAAAAACCCTAAAGGTAATTTCTTTGCAATGCTCATGGTTTATCCAAGTAAGACAGCTACACTTATTTAGTCTGATCCACAGTTGTGTCTGTGGCAAAATCTTCACCTATCTTTGGAGAGGTAACTTGATACAAAAGAGTGCTGGACTTAATTATTTACCTATTTTGTAGATAATACATTTACATAGAGGCATACAGCTAGTATAGGAGGGCAGTTAGGCTATGTGTACTGCCTTACCCCACTAAACTTCTACATGTTGGCTTGATCTACAGGGCCATTTTACACAGCTGCACAGGATCTCTTTGTTATAAGCACTGCTTGAAAGTTAACCGGTTAATAGTAGTATTGGGTTTATCAGTGACTAGATGCCATCTGATTAACATACCATATAGCTAGTCATTTAAAAGTTACTTTTTGATGTAATGATTAACACCTGAGTTACTTAGGGGCACTAAGTAACACCCAGTTACTTTCAAAAGTTGATTTAAAAAGACATTTTAAAGCCATTTTGACAAGAGTTTTTCAGGTTTTATGCCATTTTCATATTAATCCCAAGTGGAAGAGAAGTTTTATCTAGCTTCGTCTTTAGTATTTTTGTAAACATTTCCAAGGTGCAACATCATAATTGACTGTTGGACAGTATTTCCCTTTATTTTTTGACCACTTGGTAACTTTAGCATAGGAATGTGCAACACAATGCATAACCTGCACGACTGAGCCATAATAACAATAACGGCAATCTGGCTTCCAAGAGATAACAATGAATGCAAGGAGTTCTTTTCAAAATGTAATTTTCTGAGGACTGGTTTTGAATGCACAAAAGGTTCCCACAAAGGTTTCAAGCTTATAAGGTAAAGCATGGGATCTGTTTCTGCTCTCCAAATACAGCAAAATTCCACACTAAATATTTATAGGCTTACCTGGAAGCACTGACAATAAATATATTTCTAAATGAATATGTATTGACAGACATGGTAAATTTAAAATGTTCTCTCAGCAATTAACACCTTAATGGAAAGGACCACCATATTTATGTATTTATTTATTGTTTGTTTGTTTGTTTCTATCCCACCTTTCTCCCCCAAAGGACCCCCCGTATAATGACAAAATGCATCATTCTATGTTATCCAAATGGCAGCCCATCAACATGACAGTGTCCACATTCTTTGCAGTCCATTCAAGCATTCTGCTTCCTCTCAGACATGGCTAACCCACAGCATAATTTGTTTCAAGTTGGCTACAGTTGTTCAGACCTGTAGCCAAAATTATTCAGAACTGCCCTTATGTCATTTGTGTGTGCTATTTTTCAAATAACATGAGCCAAAATCCATCATAGGCCTAAGGCTTCCATTCTTAAGAAACAGGGATGGAGAAAAAGGAGCTCTTTCCCTCAATAATGGACATGGCATTGAACTATGCACCCTGTGTTGGCTCACTAAATAAGACTTATATGTCATCAGGACTAGACCAATAACATAAAAAATTCATCAGCATTTAAACAATGGCTAGGACAATTATAAATTTTCATGTATGACATAGGGCACTTGTATCACTGTTAGAACTCTGCTTCTTTTTGTTTGTTTGTTTACACATATATAGTAAATATATCTTTTTTTATTTACATATACCAGATATTTATTTACTGACAATATTAATGTAAAATGTATAAAGAAGGTTTCTTTCTTTATCCAAATGGGACTTTTGTATACAGTAATGCTTTGTAGATCATTTTAAGACTAGGGATAGAATTTTTAGGTTTCTTGGATTACAAATTCAATAATTCTCCATTCTGAGAGTTCTAAACAGGGGTCATTTGGGAGAAAGGTCTCAAAGGGAAAACATGAGGCTTAGTTAGGCCTAGCTCAATCTAGCGTCATGGTCAGAAAAAAAGCTCCCAGCTAGCACTAGGGCAGGAACAGGAAGTTTCAGGAGACCTACACCTAGTTCAAGCTGAGGCCTTTCCCCCGGTTGAGCTCCATTTAGGTATCTGTCTGTCAGGTAGAACTCACAGGATGAAGACTTCTGGGATATGTAGTCCAAGAAATAATAAAATCCCATCCCTGTGTAAGACCATAATTAAGTCTTGTTCTACGTATTTTATTCTTTACACAGGTCCATGATATACAAGTTGACTTTCTAATATAAGTCTTATTGGACCATGATTTAAAGCATGTGGAGTTCACATACAGTGAGGGAAATGCACTAGCCCTGCCTCAGCCTACTGTCTGTTTAAATACAGTAATGTGGCCATCTGAAGAAGGAGAGTCTGTTGTACCTTTGGAACCTTCCATTTAAGCCAGAACTCCAACTTGGAGAGGATGATGGTTCATGTGGAACACAATATTTCTGTGATTAAAGAGATAATAGAAGGGGCAAGGCTAGTGTACTCGCTTCAGTGCATATCAGCTACATTCTCACAACTGAATAGAGCTATGTTTGCGATGAGAAAAGACATTCATGCCATTTTTCATAATTTATGAAGCAAATGAGTTCTTCATACAGTGTGTTTCAGGTGAATGTTCACTTCTATGAAGTTTGTCTATCCTATCAGTGTTTTAATGAAACAGTGTTGATAACAACTGTTAAAGCAAATGCTAAATAAAGGATTATATTGCAAAGAGCACTGAAGAATTACTGCAGCTCCCTTTTAGGTATAATAGCTTGATAGCATGATAATATTTTTTTAAAAAAAAATCACACAAACCCAAAATTCTATCTATAGTAACAAGCACATTTACATGTTTTCAAAAATGTGAATTTCTTCAAAACTTTCAGTAATCTAGAGATACTCTACATTTTACTCTAACCTACATGAAAATTCTAGTTAATTTTCTTTTCATGGATACATCTTTGCTGAACTCTTATAAATGTTGTATTAATGGTTGCCTGCAACAAGTCAATGGTGACTTATGACCACTCTTTCCAAGGTTTTCTAGAATACACAGTTTACCATTTTCTTCTTCTGGGAGTGCCCTGGGATTGTGCAGCTTGCCTACGACAATGCAGGCTGCGTCTTCTTCCAAGAGGCAAAACGTGGAATCAAACATCCAAACTCTGGCTACACCATCAGATACCTAAACCACTGAGCTATCTATCCATACGGTGCCCTGACCCTGCCTTAAAACAGAAAGCTAAGCAGAAAAGGTCCCACTACAGGGATTAAGTTCTGCTGTTCCTTCTCTGTCCTGGAGGGTTTTTCATTTCATTTTGTTTTACAGTTCACCACTAGATAGGTCATACTGTACTCTCTCTTGACTGATGGTTGTGAGAAGAATGTTGAATAAGCTGCCAAAATTGTTGGTATGAATTTGAATGTGTAAGAAAAGGACCCCTGAAGATGGTTAGGAATGGAGCTAAGAATGACATTGTAGAAATTAGTGGTGTCCTCCATATATGACAAACACCATGAATTAGTCTGCTGGCATTTTGTTAGTGGTGAAGCAAAAACACTAATACAGTGGTGCCTTGCTTAACGGGAGCCCCGTTTAACGACGAATCCGCATAGCAATGATTTTTTGCAATCGTTTTTGCGATCGCATTGCGATGTTTTAAATGGTAAAAATCGCTTTGCGACGATCGGTACGCTGTTTCGCATACCAATTTTCGCATAGCAATGTTTTTAGAACAGCTGATCGGCGGTTCCAAAATGGACACTGGGTAAAAAAAATGGCCACCTGCTGTGTTTAGGGATGGATTCCTCGCTTACCGGGCAGGGAAAATGGCCCCCGTATGGAGGATTTTCGCTTTAAGGTGAGTTTTTTGCCCATAGGAATGCATTAAATGGGTTTTAATGCATTCCTATGGGCTTTTTTCCCCGCATAGCGACGAATCCGTATAGCGACAATTTTTGCTGCACGGATTATCGTCGCTATGTGGGGCACCACTGTATATGCACCCACAAATGTCACAGGCAAAAATTAAAAAAACTAAACTAAACCCTGAAATCCAGCAATTGCAGGAAAACTTTACTATTTTCTGTAAAGTGTATGTGAGAATTGAGGGTTGGGGGGACCATGGAATAGCACTGTGAGACCATTAAAGAAGACATGTTCATGGTCAAAGCGTGTTTGGTGTTTCTCATTTTGTAGATATTTACTCTGAACATAACACCAAGATGTTTGCTTTTGCTGTTTGTTGCTGTAGAAATTCATTATTTAATTATGATATTATCAACTGAGCTTGATTATTGTTTTCCCCTAACCCTAACCCATGTTCCACAGGACAGCCAGAATCAACATTGAATGGTAGGGGTCTTCTGGAACTGAAGTTATAGATCTGGGATGTAATGAACATTAGCTGCCATATGCCCTGATGCTGAGGCACAACCATCCTCTTAAAAACTGAAGCATTTGTGAAATACAGAGACAGGAAGTGGTAAGCATATCATTTGCATATAAGATCTACCAGTTTTCATAAATCTGCTGTAAATGAAATTAGGTTTGTTTGCTTAGTGTTCAAACAATGAACACTACTATAGTAATCAAAATGAGCACTAAGCCTTCATTAGTCACTCGTATCTTAGTAGCCATAATTCTTATTTCTTTCAGGTGAATTTAAGAAAATGGATTAGCGCAAGACTTAGTCATACTTTCAGTAGACTCATTAAAATCAATGGGACTTAAGCTTATTCTTTAATGCTCCATTTATTTTATGGGGTATCCTCTAAGAATCAACTAGAACCAATCTATAAACTGAAAAACAGATGAAATACAATGCATTATGATGTCATGAGTAAATTTTTGCTTTGATCCTGTGGATCACAGTAGCTTAGGTTATTTATTCCCAATTTTTCTTTCCCAGCTCAGTATTTTTCTTGTTGTTATTACTAAAACAACATCCAGATCAAACATTCTTCCTTCACCGTCAGTTGTGTAATCTGTGATGTTTGACTGTGTTTTGTAAAATGCAATTAAATCCTCCAATACCTCTCCACAAATATCCCAGCTTGGACTGCATGAACAATGCTCCTGAACCGTGGTTTTTCTTCAGTTCTCTTCAGCATCATCCCCATCTGCCGTGTGAAGGTGGAGGCCAGCCAATCCCGCACCTCTGAGGGCACGGAATCTGACTGGATATCACTGAGCTCATCTTCTGTATCCAACAGACGCCTGTGGGAGGATGGGGGAGTAATGGTAAATAAAGGTTTCCTAAGAGATGGCATTTCCCCTGCAACATTATTTACAACTGTCACACGAACAGAACCCCTAATTAAATCTGCCAGTTCTTCTGTATGTGTGTTTTACCTTTTATAATTTCACAAAACACACTTTGTTGACTTTCAGTTATTTCACTGCACAACAGCCATAGCACCAGACTGCAAAAGGGCTCACTTTTGCTGAGCTAGAAAAAATGCACGGGCATGACACTGTCCTTCTAGAAATGTTCTTAATTATGGCAAGAACCCGCTATGATATTCCTGACTTAGCCAGCTTGTTTTCAAACCATAATTTGAGAATTATAGGATTTTCTGTGTGGTGATTTCCTAAACACTATTTTCTCCCTCACTCTCAAAGTACAAACACAATCTAAGAGTTGACGAATGGTATCCAGTCCATTGATGTCCCTGTCTCAGACTGAAAATAAGCCATTAGAAGATAAAAATATTTCCACATATTAAGTGGGAGGGGAAGGAAAGAAAGAGTTGGCTTAACAGTGTAATAGATAATGTATATGTTACTGATACTTGTACGGCATGCTGTCTATAGCACTCAGCAGGTCGCTTAGTATCTTCTAAAGGAAGCATGGGTATACAGCTTTGAAGCAGATGAATAACTACGAGTTAGATCAAGCTATTCAAGAAGTCAGGATGTAATGTTCACTTATTTTGTCCTCATGCAAGAGAAGGAAGGACTGCAAAATTATTCTCCTTACCCTTTGGGAGGTCAAGTTATTCTATTGCACTCTTGGCAGAGAATAGAGTAAAAGCAAGAAGGACATTTTGCAGAAATTAAGCAAAATCGTGTAACATTTTAAAGCAAAAAGTCTTTTTAAACTCTAAAAATGTAAATAGCACAATTAAGCAGACTATGATTGCCTAGTTGTTGCATTGACGTTTAAGGACTAGATTTTTGCATCCATATAAATAATCAGAACCTCATCCTATGCTTCCTGCATGGGAGAGGACACTAGTTTTACACAGAGGCAATTTATGCATATTATAGAGAGTTTGATGAGAATAAAAAATCACTCTCTGCCTCATTGTCCCCTGGATCAGACTAAATCAGCGACAAAGAATGATTTAGCAAGTAAACTTTACATCCCCACTTTGGAATAAATATCTTTTCTCTGCCTAAAAAAATAACCAGGTAGATGAACTTTTAGGGAAGTATTTATAATTTTGATCCAATTTGGAATAAAAGATTGAGGTACTGAGGGTGGGCGCCCCCACAGTTGGGGGCTTGGGAAACTCCCTCTCTTTTGGGGGGGTGACTCTTCCCGCCAAGGATGGGGTCTGCACCTTGGGGATCCATCTGGACCCGACGCTCACTATGGAAACTCAGGTGGCGTCAGTGGTCCGTACCACCTTTTTTCATCTTAGGCGGATAACCCAGCTGCGGTCCTATCTCGATGATGGGGTGCTCACTACCTTGGTGCATGCGCTCGTAATCTCAAGATTAGACCACTGTAATGCGCTCTACATGGGGCTGCCTTTGAGGCTGCTGCGGAAACTTCAGGTGGTGCAGAATGTGGCGGCTAGACTACTCAGTGGAGTGAAAAAATACCAACACATCTCACCCACTCTGGCTACATTGCATTGGCTGCCCATCCGGTTCCGCATCGACTTCAAAGTGTTGGTGCTTATGTACAAAGCCCTAAACGGTTTACGGCCTCGATACCTGGCGGAACGCCTACTCCCACCAAGATCTACCCGTGTCACTCGTGCAAGCCAGGAGGTGAGGCTGAGGAGCCTAATGCCAAGGGAGGCCCGGAAGGAAAAGACAAGAAATTGGGCCTTCTCGGCGGTGGCTCCTCGCCTCTGGAACAACCTACCTCCTGAGATTCGTGTGGCCCCCTCGCTGGGTACCTTTAAAAATCAACTTAAAACATGGATATTTTGGCAGGCCTTCCCTCTAGTCAATCCCTGATGGCCTCTTTCTCCCTTCTATTTGTCTATTTTATTATGTCTAATTTTATGTAAAATTGGTTTATATATATTCACTGTTCTATTTTATGTTGTTAGCTGCCTAGAGTGGTCTTAACTGACCAGATAGGCGGGATATTAAATAAATAAAGCTGGAGTGCCTATTAACTCCCTCACAAGGAAGAAAGTGGACCTTGGCATAGTGTCATGGGAATACTGCTGGAATCCTCTTGGGCAGCTCTCTGTGTGCAACTCAAAACTATGGCAACAATAGTGGAAAACTGTGCCATGGCAGAAATGCTCTTCATGAAGCTCCTCCATATTCATGTCATACAATAGTCAGGATGAAAACTGAATGACTAGTTAGTTGCACAATCAAATTGTGCAGTCTTAATTGCCTCCATGGAATGCCCCAGCAAATTTCCACAGGCATTAATTTTACACCACGCAAAGGCAAATGAAATTTCAGCTAATGTTAATAGCAATCTTTATGCTCTTGAGAGTCCCCTGGACTGCAAGGAGATCAAACATATCCATTCTGAAGGAAATCAACTCTGTGTGGTTACTGGAAGGACAGATCCTGAAACTGAGGCTCCAATACTTTGGCCATCTCATGAGAAGAGAAGACTCCCTGGAAAAGACCCTGATGTTGGGAAAGTATGAAGGCAAGAGGAGAAGGGAACAACAGAGGATGAGATGGCTGGACAGTGTCATCCAAGCTACCAACATGAATTTGACCAAATTCCAGGAGGCAGTGGAAGACAGGAGGGCCTGGCGTGCTCTTGTCCATGGGGTCATGAAGAGTCAAACATGACTTAACAACTAAACAACAACAATGACAGAACCTAAATCCAAGGAAGAGCATGAGATATAGAAATTGTTTTAAATCCATCAATATACTGAATTAGTTTTCTAACCTGGTTTCATCAATGTACACAGATTCAAGTACAGTGGCTGCATATTCCAAGTTCTTTTTTAAATCAACAACGGATGCCTCTCCTCTCTCAAGTTGCTTTACCAAGGATCTTAACCTATGAGAAGGAAACAAGAATTTGATTAACACATATTCATCTCTGGAAATCAAAAGACATTCAAATTAATGTCATACACAAAATCTCTATCCTCCTTGCAATGTACAAGCATAACAGACTACAATGAAACAAATTTATGACTGACATCTGTGGCCAGTCATCTATGCAGGAGCACATACATGACCACCAGCTACTCTGGATTAATTTGCAGGTTTACATAATTTGCTTCCCAGTCTACCTGGCAGAAGGCTCCCCAAAAAGATCTTTTATCTTCCAAGCTCTGCTAATGGTCAAGGAAAATGGAAGTTGTACTCCAACAACATCTGGAAGGACACAGGTTTTCCAATCCTTATAGTATAAGGCTTTACATACAAAACGAATGGATGGAAAAGGAAGCAAGGGAAGGGAATTTGCTATCCGAGAGATCTGAGACTCAGAGCTAATCTAGTGTCACTTTAGCTTTGAGGTGGCTTACCATCTGACCTGAGTAAATAACAGAAATACAGTTATTTACCATCTTTGTTTAGTTAATGCCGCAAGGAAAGAAGCAGCTACATCATCTTCTTACGTAATTATGACTTACCGCAGGAGACAGAACTTACTTTGTTGATGTCAAAATGTGAATAGGGGCTATACTGCTCCATTCATCCATGCCTTCCTCCATTCATTCATTCATTCACTCATTCATTCATTTTAGAGACACAGAACCTATTGACAATATACAGTATCTGCTACCCACTGCATAATCAATATATATTTTTAAAAAACAAACAGGTATTTTCATAAAATTAATATTTTGTTTTGGAAATTTATGTAGGGTTCCAAAAAGCCTCAAATTTATTTGAAGAAGACATAACTTGCACAAAGTGAAGATGGATTTTGTTTCCCCTATGTTAGTTTATATCAGCAGACCCATTTATTAACTAACATTAATTATTGGAACTGTGTTTCTCAGAATAATTATGCATTTGCGGCCTGTTTGGAAGCCTTTTGTCTGGTGCCTCTCTTGAAATGGCTAGTGCTGAGATCCACAAAAGTTAAAAAAATTCTGCCCCTCTGACAATTCTATCAGCAAGAGATATAGATGTATATTTTCATTACAGTTGCAATTTAACCCCTTCTTTACATACTAAATTAGCATTATGGAACAATCCAGATTTAATAACTGAGAAGAAATCATTTGCAGAGAAGGTCTGGCCAAAAAAAAAACTTTTACCTTAGATCTATGAATTGACATGATGAATCTTTTTCCATTTTGTGTTTTGAAGGCTTGGTACAACTTGCTACTCTCAACCGAATGGCAATTTTTACAACTGCGAAACTTCTTGACATCTAAATATAGTCCAGCAGCGTTGAATTCATCAGAATCTGCTATATTTTTGGAATTGTTAATGGAATCAATCTCCCCTCAAAAAAGGCTACAACATCTGTTTATAAACATTTGTTGTCATCTAATAAACATGGCACACAGGTTCTAAGGAAGGTATAAGGAACTGGGCTGCCCTATATGGTCCAATCAATGGAAGGAGACATTAAATAGTATACTTGAAGTTTCTACGGATCTTAAGCTATGACATACCCAGCAAAAGATCATATTTAGAATATATTGTACAGCATAACACCTTAAGAAGAAGGGTTTGAGCAGTTCATCTAAGCACTGGCATTGTAATTCTCCTGCTGCTTCTCTGAGGCATATGCATGTCCTGTTACAGGTTAGTTTTGGGGAGATGTTATTGCCCATTTTCATTTGGTTCTGGATCATTCTCTGATCTTTGTTGATGTTTAAATTATTTACCTGTTTCTTGGAGATTAACCACTAGACAGTGTAAATAGACTTAATGTGCTCTTGCTAAGAGACTTATATTTAACACTGGAAAGACAAATATCCATTCTCAATAATTCTGCCCTGATACAGAACCTAGTAATATTGTTAACATATGAACATATGGCTTATAGAAAACAATGATGCATGTATACATTTTTAGATAAGGCTTCTCTTTTATATAAGTTTATGTATAACTATTTTTCCTTCTCCTTCTCCTTCCCCTTTTTTCTTTTCCCCCCTCTCTCTTCTTTTATTTTCCATTTCTCCCCCCCCCTTGGGTTAGAGATAGCATTATATATCTGGGCAATGTTCCCTCTAAGCTGTGTAGATGTGCAGGCGTGCAGCACTGCACCAGTGCCATGCATCCACAGCCAGTGTTGCCACCCATTGGTTCCAGTAACAGCCAGAACCCCGCACATGTGTGTGGGACCCCACCTAGCCCTGGTGGAAAATCAGAGGTAATGTTGATCTGGGGTGTGGGTTTTTTGCATGGTCTTCTCAAATGATTTGTCCTTTTCTTTCTTTTTTTGAACTTTTACTTTAAAAAAAATCAAGCAGGGAATAGAAGTCTTCAGAATGTTGTTTTTAAAAAAGTAATAAATTAGCCTGTTGCTTTTAAGTGCTGTTGGAACCAACTTTAAATTTTCTGTTGTTTTATGAAGAATACTTATTTATACAAAAAGTAAAACCAAACAGAAAAAGAAAAAAAATAATGAATATCTAAATACGCAGTGCTTCCCCCCCCCCCAACAACCAAACTATCTGGGAGTAGCCATCAGGGATGGAGACTTGTGACTTGCTGTTGAGTCAGAATTAAATGGGCTGTGTGGTTTTTTTAATGACTCGAACTGAAATTGTGACTTGGACCCATTTATCCAAGTCGCATTTTCAAATCCCTATTCTTTTAATGAAGGACACCTTAAACCCAGAAGAAGCTTTGAGACACTCACCAGAAGACAGAGGAGAGGCAGGCAAGCAGTGGCAAATGGCAGAGGAGGAAGTAGTGACAGGGAGGGAGGGTTTTCAAAAGTGTGGGGGCACAGGGGTGAGAGAAAGTGAGGCAGGCTCAGTGGTTTTTTCCTATTGGCCACAACTCTGAGCACAAGGGTGGGCTGGGCAAGGAAAGGGAGCCAGGGAGAAGGAATATATAGGACTGCTAAGCATTTTTCCCACACTTTTGTCATCAACTGGAGTGAGTAGGGTGGTGGATCTTGGCTCAGGCTTCAACAGCAAGTTGTTCTCTGTCTAAGCAGGCTAGCTAAGGCAGCTTACTGGGAAGATTACTATTTTATCTGACATGCAACTTTGATATATTTGAGTAAGTGCACAGCATTGTGTCAAGAAATGGTTTGGATTTTGATAATAGTATGTTTTTCAAACCAAATTTATGGTGTTCAGGAGAAGGGCAGATGGGAAATGGTGTTGCAGAAGCCTCAGATATGCCCACACACCCCACACGGGCCCCACTCCTCCCTTTTTTTTCTGGGAAAACAAATTGTTGTTAATAAGGACTGGGACCTGAGGCTTGGGACTTGGACTGGGACCCAAAGACACGGATACAAATTTGGGACTTGGTACCAAGGACCCGGATGTGGACCCAAAGACTTGCCAACATCCCTCTTAATCAACGATACTATTTACGCATGTGGAGTTCCATCACCACTCCAGAATTGTATTGACTCTAACATTGGAATTTGCCCCTCCCCCTTTATTAATACAAAATCCACAAATGCTCCCATCTACAGAAACATCTCTGCCAGTTACACCCTCTTAACTTTTATACATGTTATCATTGACAGCTATATCTCAAACTTTCCTATATCAATCACTTAACTAGAAATTATAATCTGTTTTCCAATTCCTACCAATTATCAGTCTCACTGGTGTTAACAAATTGGAAACAAATACCTTAGTTGTCAAATATTGATAAAAGCTCTATTCTGCAACATATCTAAGTTTAACTAGTGTATTTCATTCATTTCCTTAAAAACCAATTGCCAAAATTTCAATATATTCTCCCATTGCCACCACATATGAAAATTAGTAGATATTTTCTGGTACAGAGGGAGAGGGGAAAAAGCTTCCTTCTATCCACTTGATCCATTCCCTGCATAATTTTATACATCTCAATCAATTCCCCCAAGACACCTTTTCTCTAAAGAACCCCAAACACTGTAGCCATTCTTCATAAGGGAGGTGCCCCAGCCCAGTCATCATATTAGTCACTCTTATCTGCACCTTTTCCAGTTCCACAATGTCTTTTTTGAGGTGCAGTGACTAGAACTGTATGCAACACTTCAGGTGCGGCCTTACCAGCATTTTGTACAATGGCATTATAATGTTGGCTGTTTCATTTTCAGTCCCCTTTTGCTGTTGTCCATTCTCCTGAAAGTGTCTGGCTTTGTTCTATATGATGGGACAGTATAATGAGCTGTACTTGGACCTAGCTTTGAACCCAGCTCTGCTTGATGTAGGCTCCTGTTTTGATCTGCAGCAGCTTGGATATTCTTCACTGCTTATTATCATGATTCAGAGCTGACTGGCTTTATTGGTCTAAGGACTGTAACAATATACTGTACCTGCACCCGGCTGTACCCGGATGACTTTCTGGCTTCTTACTGAAATTCAAGCTCTCCAACTTACTCAAACCTCTACTCCAAGTCCCCTACTATAGACACTAAACAGAGCTTGGAACAGTTACTGTTATTGACTGTAGCTCCCAGACCCCGCCAGGCAGCATGTTCTTTTCTCTTGTATTATTTTCTCTTGTTGGTTTTATTTGGGGTTTATGTTGCTGCTCTTTTTATTCTGTTTTAGAGTTAATTTCACTTCTTACTACATACCATTGCATTCTTTCTTGATTCTGTTGCCAGTGGCAGAGAATCTTTGTTATTGAACAATACATTAATATTTCAAATAAAGGAAAATAAAACAGAAATTAAAAAAATTAAAGTGAGCACAGACAAATTACAATAAAATAAGAAAGCATTTTCAGACCTAGATTAGTTCCAGAAAATCTGATTATTATTTATTGGAATTGGCACATTTTTAAAACAGTACAATTTCATTCTGCTCAGATTAAGACCCAGTTGTAAGAAGCATTGACCAAAATTCACCATGACTGGATCACTTGATCTCTTTTTTTAGTACAAGCTCTGATACTTATATGCTATTG